AACCAACTGATTCGACAAACTTGTCTTTCCAACAGCACTTGCACCAACTATGACAATCTAACCGTTAATATTCAAATTGTATTTTTTTTCCTTTGTTACGATTAAAGAACACACATTTGCTGAGATGTTGGGTTTACTCATTCCTTTAATTTTCTAGTTCGCTTTAATTTTAATAATTCTATTCGTTTTCTATTTTTTTCATTTTTTAAAACAAAGAATTTGGAACAAAAATGTTTCTTCTTTGTCAATATTATTTACTATCATAATAGATATCTAATATCTAATATAATATATATATATATATATTATAATATAGTGAATATAAATAATAATATAATATATGTTATTTAAAATTTGTGAAAAGGTACAAAAAAGAAAAACTCATTTATTCAAATGGAAGAAGACAAAAAGACTTTCCACATCAAACAAATGTCATCAACATTACTCGAATTCCTTCCAAAAAAGAAGATGACTTTTAAATGCTTTGATCTCACAGAAAGAATTCAAAAATCGGAGACAGATGGAACCATTGGAAATTCATTCTACAAATCTTCTCTGATGCCATGTACCATTATTTGTCACAACGTTTTAAACACTGGTCTTTGTGACAAATCGTGTTACTCAACAAAATCTTTAGTGGAGAGAATTAAAGGGTTATCACCGAAATATATCAATTGTTCACACTTTACGAACGAGAGAAACTGTGCGTGTGCATTATTCCAGATATACAACAAAATAACAACAACGTATCCAATCAACCAAGACTTCTCTTTCAAAACGACTGCGGACGTGAATTACATTCTCTCCAATTTGTCACCAACGAAAGAAGTGAAGCGAAATTACCTATTTGTACTCAACGACATTGACACTCCCTTTCTCCTTTCCCACAGGCAATTCTTCATCGACTTACTTCCAACTTTAATATCAAATTTCCCAACAACACGATTCATTCTTAACACCAATTCAGTCGATGGACCCTTCCTCTTTTCCTTTGCTCAAATGATCAAAATGCGACTCGTGATTAACACAATAACGGGAGACAGGTGGAAAGATCAAAGTTGGTTCGTTACGCCCGTAGTAACACAAGACGCTCCGAAGACAAAGACAAGATCGGCTGTTGTTTTGGATCAAACAGCTTCGTTAAGTAGTTTAGAAAAGGAAGTCCTTTCTGGGATAGTCTGTGGCGATGCTTGTAGCATTGAACAGTGCTTTAATGCATTCAGTGCAACAAACAAAACCGTGTCGTTCTTAGCATACAAAAAGACTCTAAAGTGGTTAAGCGAGAGAGGACTTATAACAATACGTCGTGGGGTCGTCTCGTTGAAAGTGAGCAAACAAAAGTTGCAGAACATCCTCAAACTGTCGTAATTCATAAGTGTATTGTCGAACCGTAACTGTATACCTGAATTATATCTATAAGTTACTCACTGCTTGGCCACCTTCTTTTCTTTCTTCTTTGGTTTGTCTTTCTTCTGTTTCGGCAACTCAATGCCGAGGATTTTGAACCGCCGTGATCGGTGGATCAAGAAATTCTGGGAATCAGACGAGTGCTCGGAGAGCGCCTTCTCTTCTTCAATTGCGTGCGCACGCGCTTCCTCTGGTGAATATCCCATTTGGCAGAAGTGTTTGTTGAGTAATTCGTAGCATCTAAGTGTAAAACCAATAGTTTGTTGTATAGTTAAATTGTTATTAATTAACTATATAGAGAATCTATTTTAAGATAGATTCTTGAGAAAACAAACCCTTGTCTGTATATAATAGGAACACGAACACCATACACTTCCTTAATCATGTAACCTTTCAGAGGAACTGTTGGTGGTCCTTGGTTGGAATAAGGATTAACTTTGGCGTCCATTTTCCGTTTCTCGTTCTCGTAGTTTTTCCTTTGTAGAGGAGTCATGTGTTCTGGGTCTGGAAGCTTTGGTGGGTCAATTTGTTGTTGTGAAACTGGGGGTGGCTGAATTGGCACTGATGTTTGAGGCGAATCCAAAGGCTCTTCCACTTGCAATTCTATGAAGTCCAATGGTGGTTGTGCGTCCATTGGTTGAGGTGGTTGATTGTCTTGAGTGACTTGAACTGTTGGAAGTTCTTGAGGAATTTGCATTGGTTGAGGGATTTGTGTGATTTGAGTGTGTTGTTGAAGTTGTTGTGGTGCATCTGAATGTTCCTTTGGAATCTCCTCGATTTGGTGTTGCACAGGAAGTTCACTTTTTTGAGGAACTGACATATTTGGAATTTCTATCATCTTTTTAACTTCTTCGTTTCCATTGAAATTCAGAGGCACAGCTTCTTTGATTTCTTCTTTGGTTGGAGTTGCCAAGTTTTGATTGACGACTTCGAGTTTGTTTTCATTAAGTATTGGTTGTTGTGCGACAGTACTTTGGTGAGCGGGTTGAACATTATTTTGTTGCAAAATAAGTGGTGGTTGGAAACCAACCCCTTTTGCATTGATGGGGTTAACCTCTTGAGTCTTTGGTGGTTCTGTCTTTGGTAATGAAAAGGGAGGAGTCAGCACTTTGATATTCTGTTGAAGAACACCGTTCATGCTCTGTTGAGTGCCTTGAAAACTTTGTTGCTGAAACTTTGTTTCTTGAGGGTGTGAAGGTTGTTGTTGAAAATTTGTGTTGAATACTTGGGGTTTGTACATTGAGCTTGTGATTTGAGCACTTTGCTGTGTGTTAACAACAGTAAGTGGCGTGTACTTTTTCGATTGTATCTCTGGACTTGATGGAACGACACTTTGACTTTGACAAACGGTTTGTGTAACAAAGTCGAAAGAAAAGAACCTGTAGTCCTTAATGTACTTTTGTGTGGTTTGTTGTTGCTGCTGTATTGCGTACATTAGTAATGAAACATTGAGTTCTTTTTTTGGAGGGTTTGAAAAACATTTTAAATTTTTTTGTTATTCGTTTTTTATTCCTCACGAAAAATATTCACTGTATTTTAATATAACCAAAATTATGGTTACATTAACTATTTGTTTTATTATTTATAATAATTCGTTATTAAATATTATTTTAATATTTTTACTATACTAAAAAACTATATAAAATTACAGTAATTATATACTATTTTGTTGATTGATAAATTTTACCAATTTTCTAAAATTTTTTACTAAATAAAATAGTTGGTAATTAAACTTTAATAGTAATAAAAGAAAATAGTAAACAGAGACAGTAAATGCCAAAAAATAAAAAACTATAAAAAATTTTTTGGAAAACAAATTTTAAAACTATAATAACAATGTGATACCATTATAGTTAATTATTTTCAAAAACAACTTGAAAAGGGAAGTGGATTGAAAAAACTTTTCAAAAAGCAAATAACTAAACCCCCGTTATTTTGTTGAAAGATAGTCCGACGAAATTGAAATTGTTGCACGTCCATTAATGGAACTTGGAATAGAACTAAAACAAAAAATGAGCGACTCAGACAGTGACTTGGACTTTAAACCAAAGAAGACTTCTTCGAAAAAGTTTGATCTTAGTGATAGCGACGACGACCTCCTTTCAGGAAAACCCGCTGCTAAGAAACCAGCTTCAAAAAAGATCGACTTAAGTGATTCAGATGATGACGACTTGGATATTAAACCAACTAAAAAGGCGTCAGCGAAAAAAATTAATCTGTCAGACTCAGACGACGACTTGGATATTAAACCAAAGAAAACAGCGTCTAAAAAAATTGATTTGAGTGATAGTGACGATGACGATCTCTTGGATACTAAACCAACAAAGAAAGCAGCAGCAAAGAAAATGGATTTAAGTGACTCAGACAGTGATGATGATTTGGATATCAAGCCAAAAAAGACAGCAACAAAAAAAATTAGTTTGTCAGACAGTGACGACGATGACTTGTTAGATAAGAAACCTGCTGCTAAAGCACCGTCAAAAAAACTCGATTTGAGTGACTCTGATGATGACCTTGATTTGAAACCAAAGAAGACTGCGACTAAAAAAATCGACTTATCAGACAGTGACGATGATGATTTGTTAGATAAGAAACCAACAAAAAAAGCAGTTGCTAAAAAAGACTCACTAGATTTGTCAGATAGTGATGACGATATCAAACCAGCTAAAAAGACAGCCACAAAGAAGATCAGTTTGTCTGATTCCGATGACGATGATCTGTTAGATAAGAAACCAGCAGCTAAGACCGCAGCGAAGAAAGACTCATTAGACTTATCCGATAGCGACGATGATATAAAACCGGCTAAAAAAACCGCTGCCAAGAAAATTGACTTGTCCGATTCTGATGACGATGACTTGTTAGACAAAAAACCTGCTGCGAAAGCACCAGCGAAGAAAGTTGATCTAAGTGATAGCGACGATGACTTGGATGTCAAACCAAAGAAGACGGCTGCCAAGAAAATTGACCTGTCAGACAGTGATGATGATGACGATTTGTTGGACAAAAAACCAGCCAAGAAAGCAGCGACAAAAAAGATGGATTTAAGTGACTCCGATGATGACTTGTCACCAAAAAAACCTGCTGCTAAGAAAGACTCTTTAGACCTTAGCGACAGTGATGACGATATTAAACCAGCAAAAAAGGCTACTGCCAAAAAAGTCGACTTATCAGACAGCGATGACGATGACTTACTTGACAAGAAACCAGCAGCTAAGGCCCCAGCTAAAAAGGATTCATTAGACTTGTCAGATAGTGATGATGATATAAAACCAGCTAAAAAGACAGCCACAAAAAAAATTGACTTGTCTGACTCCGACGATGACAATTTATCTCCGAAAAAGCCAGCAGCTAAGACTGCAGCAAAAAAAGACTCACTAGACTTATCCGATAGTGATGATGATATTAAACCAAAGAAGGCGGCTCCAAAGAAAATTGACTTGTCTGATTCCGATGATGACGACGTACCAACCAAAAAAACGGACACGAAGACTGCAGCCAAAAAAGATTCGCTTGATAGCGACAATGATCTTTCGGACGACGACTTAGCAGACATCATGAAAAAGAAGAAAGAGCGTAATGCGAAGAACGACAAAGACAAAAAGGACTTAGCGGCCGCCGATGACGCAAAAGCAAAGGCGTTTGCTGCTTTGAACCGTAAAGTATCCGAAGAGTCCGACGACGAAGTTGATAACAAAAAAGACGCGAAAGCAACCAAAATCGACTCTGACGACGAAGAAGAGAAAATGCGTAAAGAAGAGGAAGAGGAGAGAAAAGCGGAAGAACGTGACGAGCAACTTAAGAAGGAAGCTGCGGCCAAAGAAGCTGAGCGACAGAAGAAATTAGAGAATGAAGACCCTGCAATGAAGAGACATAATGAGCGTGAAGATCGACTTAAGGCGATTCAATCTGCTCGAGAGAAGGCGAGAAAGGATATGGAAGAACGAAGAAGACAGATGGAGGAGGACAGAATGCGTAAACAAAAAGAACGTCTTGACGCGAGAAAACAGCGAGAATTGGATGATCTTAAGAGGCAAGAGGCTGAGCGAAAGCGCCGAGACGAAGAGGAGAAAAAGCGGAAGGAAGAGGAAGAAAATGATCAAAAGAAGAAGATGGAGAGAATTAAAAAGAGAGCGGAGGCGGACTTAGAAGAACGAAAGAAGGAATTTACCGAGACGATGGCTGGTGAAGATCCAATGGAAGTCATGAAGAGAAGAACAGCAGAAAGAAAGGCTGAGAGAGAAAAAGCTAAACAAGACAGAGAAGCTAAACGTAAAGCCGAACAAGAGAAGAAAGCAGCTCAACGTAAAGAATGGGCAAAGAAGGAAGCAGCCGAACAAAAAGCGTTTGAAGAGTCTTTGATGACGCCTGAAGAAAAGAAGAAGAGACAACAAGACGAAGAACGAGCTAAGAGAGAGAGTGAACGTATAGCGGCAAAGAAGGCTGCTGTCCTTTAATTCATTTTAGGGTTTCTTCATTTCAATTTCTGTGTATAAAGAAAACAACGAAAACAATAAATTATGGAATCACTTCTATTGAGTTGTTGAACTTGGGATAGTGGAAATCCTCAATCTTCAATTTCCCTTCCTCAATCAGTTGTTTCACGGTTGGTACAACGTCCTGAATCTCTTTAATATACCCTCGTATGCTTTTACACACTTCATTGAACCCTTCGTCACCCCACCACTTCGAACCATTTGCATATAAACATCTTCCTCCACAAAGTTCAAATACATCGCAATGTTCTTTGTTGCATGGATCAATCAATTTGGCTTTGTTCACCATCTTCTCTTCGACAAAGTCTTTGTCTTGGACTTTTCCATAAATGTCCATGTCTGGTGCTATAGGGCAAGCAGTGATATCACCATTGGTCGCAATATTGAATGACGTGAATCCAGACCCACACCGGACGTGTGCCATTTTTTCTCCGGTGAGTATCGAATACATCATCGCTGTGAATGGCGCAATGCCCATCACCTTTCCCGAAAATTTCATCACGTCGACCCACTCAGAAACCAATCTATGAATACCTGGGAGGTAATCAGTGTCTCTCCACTCAATGAACTTAAAGTCCCAAGACACGTATGCTGGTGAGTCCCAACACACGTCCAGTTGCCAGTGGACATGATCGAAAAACTTCAAGTTAATCAAATGGTTAACATCCTCATATATCTGTGATCCTTTAGAAACAGTCATTCGTGCTACCAAATCTCCTTTGTACCCATTCATTCTTATCAGCTTCACGTTTTCAATAGCTTTTTCATATGTGTTGGCACCTCTTTTGAAATTTGTTCTCTTCGAGTCTCCGTCCAATGATATTAATATCGTGCCAACCCTATTCACATATTCAGTTTTTATGGTGCTCAACAATGTCCCATTCGTTTGAAAGATGAATTCTGCATGTGGAATCATATCCATAACTTCGTATATGATGTCAGGGCGAAGTAATGGCTCACCTCCATAGAAACAAATAATAGGGTTAACTTCTTCTCCCAATTTCTTCAGAACAGTAAGATCGTAATCTATTTCCATTGGCCACGGGTTTAAGTCTTCCATGTCCGTGTCATAGACTTCGTCACTTCCACAGTACTTGCACCTCAAGTTACATCTTTGTGTCAGTGTTAAAAACCATATCTTTCTTCCGTCCATTGACACTCTTTTCGTATATATCAGTTTAAAAGCTATCAAAAAGTAGGGTTATCCCGACTTGTTAAAAAAATTGAAAACAAAACATTATCTATTTTTATTTCAAAACTCGTTCGAAAGGTGCTTCGCGACAATCTAATGGTTGGTTAAAATCACTGTGCTTAAATCAAGCAACTCACAATTAAACAATCTCACCATCATCGGAGTCGTCCTCTGACATTTTAGTGTTGGCTTCTCGCTCCATCGCGTGCACTGTTTCATAGTCCAACTGAAAGTCATCTTTGGTAACCATTTTGTCACATCCCGCAAAGGGGCATTTCATCTGTTTGACATGTCCAATCAAGTTGAAAATCGCATCCTTTGAAAATATGTGTCCACACACTTTCGACTTATATGGCTCGACAAATCTCCTTTTCGTGAGTGGGCAAATGAATGTGTTTGTGGTTTGAACGATGATCTCATTATCGTCTTCTGGGAATGGTTCTGTATGCTTTGCAGCCCACATTCTTCTTCTCAGTTCCTTCAATTTGGGGTGGTCGTTTGTGATTGTCTCGGTGTTATTGACGACACTTTGTTGGTATTCTTGTTTGAATGCTCTTTCATCCCTTATACTCTCCGGGTTACGTTGACTGAGTTTAAGTGCTTCGATGTGTCCAATGATTTGGTTTCTTGTTATTAAAATGTTTTTGAGAGTGTCTTGGTATTGGTTTTGTACCACTTGGTCGGGGTGGTCTTCATTTTGCATATAATTCTCCGCGCAGTCTACCAGCGTTTCTATGTAGTGACTAATCATATCTTTGAGTCGTTCGTTTTCTCTTATGCTGTCTTCTGTTTGTGTCATTTATTCTTTTTAGTTTAGTTTTATTAAGTATAAAATTGAGTTATTTAATATCTTCATATTTATTCATTAATAAATAAATAATTATTTATTTATTAATAAAAAGATCACTATTATTCAACTAAACTCAATACTATATATATAGCAGACGAACTTGAAAAAGAGATGATATCTTTCCGCTCCATTTTCGAAGCAAAAGGTAAAGAGGAGGAAGTTCCCCTTACGGGAAACACAACACTCGACGTTGCTTTAAGTACTTTACGTCAACAAACTGTGCGACCAATGATAGTTAACCCTAAAATAATTACTAATTTAAATACTATTGTGACATTACCATCTGGAGAACCCATTCGCGCTTTACTCCGTCGGTTAACTCATTTGAAAATTATACCGGAGAGTGAAGAGAAAGGAACTGTTGTTGAGGAAGTTAAAGTGACCTTTGTTTCCGTCTCGCCGTTGCTTCGTTTTGAAATCCTTGGACTTTCAGGGAAGTACGTGTTAGGAAACCTCCCAGAGACTTTAAAGGAAGTTCGTGTCGACAATGTCGAGCAAACAGTAGCCGAAGAAATACTGTTTTCTGACTTGAAAGAGTGGAAAAGCTTGGAGACCCTTTATGTCACGCGATGCAACTTATTTGAAATTAAAAAAGGCAGTTTTACACCAACCAATTTCCCAAGACTTAAGTTTCTTGACGTGTCGAATAACAACTTGACATGCTTGGAAAACATCGGAGAGAGACCTCTCGACGTCTTTGTTGGGAACAACAACAGAATTGAAAATGTGAATTGTCAAATAGTTGGGTCCATCTCGTCGATTTCACTTGATAACAATAAGATCACTACCCTCTGTCCGTTCGGTGTCTTTTTACAACTTCGAACTATCGTTTGTTGTCTTCGAAAGGAAGGAATAAAATAACTCAAAGTCGTTTAAGAATAATTTGATTGAAGACTTGGACAACGTGAAAGAAGCTTTTAGCCGACTGTATAACTTGACAAGTGTGAGTCTTGATGGGAACAAATTGTGCGATTCTAAAATTTATCACATACAACTGGCGGCGTATCTTCCATCGACTGGGTTTGGTATTTCTGTCAAAATAGATGACAAAATAGTGAGTCCATTAGACGTCGCAGAGTTTTTAAAGCATGTCCCAAAGAAGAAAGAAGTTGTGAAAATAGTTAAACAGGAAATAACAGACAAAGACGTAGAAGAGTACATCAGAGCAAAAATGGAGTCTGTTTTGAACGCTAAAGGTGAAGACGAGAAAGTGTTCCAGACGCGGAACTTCCTCCAAAACATCTATGAGATTGTTTCGAAGATAAATACAACGATCGACCCCAATGATATCCAACTCAATGAATTGATTAATAAATAAAGTGTTCATTTTGTGTCATCCAAACAAATTTTATAATTGATAGTAAAAGTGTTATTATTGAATAGTTCAGAGAGTTTGAACCAAAAGTGACTTTGAGGTCTTTGATCTTGTGATAATAACATTTTAGATCTTCGGAGGTATACAAAACGTCAAAAAAATTTAACACTTCAGAATTTGTGAAGTGTTTCAGATGAACTATAATATATAGTATGTAATTAATAAAATATAAGACTTGAGTGTGAAGAAGTTGGGAGGAATAGAAATTGTGTTCAAAAGAAACGGCTTAACAGTTCTTCCACCACTAAAAATAGAAGTAAACGAAAAAGATGAACAAAAAGTGAATGGAAGGTGTGAGACCAAATCGACCTTGATGCTCTGTTCAAGACAGAAACTTCGAGTATAAATAGAGTCTTTCTTGTATCACAGACATCTTCCTTTTGCTCGACGTCCTCCACGTCACCGCTTTGAAACCTCAAATAAATACGAGAAACTCGAAAGAAATATCAAGATAGTAATGAGAACCGGACCAGTTCACAATTTTGGCGCAGGACCTTGTGCACTTGCTGATGAAGTTATTGAAAACACGACAAAAGCAGTTCAAAATTTCAAGAATGGGATGTCTCTGTTGGAGATTTCTCATAGATCAAAGGATTGGATGGCGATTATGGACGAGACTGTCGCCCTCTTCAAAGAAGTTTTGAACATCCCAGCTGGGTACTCCGTCTTGTTCTTGGGTGGAGGAGCTTCCCTTCAATTCTTGATGGTTGCTATGAATTTGTTGGAGAAGAAGGCTGCGTATCTTGACACCGGTGTTTGGGCATCTAAAGCTATCAAGGAGGCAAAAGCTTTTGGTGAAGTCCAAGTTGTAGCGTCATCTAAAGACAAGAATTACACCTACATCCCTGAATACAAAATCCCAGAAGATGTCGATTACTTCCATATAACTACCAACAACACTATTTATGGTTCAGAAATTAAAAAAGACATTGATTGTCCAGTCAAATTAGTTGCTGATATGTCTTCTGATATTCTCTCCAGACCAGTTGATGTCTCGAAGTACGCTTTAATCTACGCTGGTGCTCAGAAGAACTGTGGTTGCGCTGGTGTCACAATTGTCATTGTCAAAGACGAAGTTTTGGGCCATGTCTCAAGACAACTCCCAAGCATGATGGACTACAAGATCCATATTGCCAATGGCTCGATGTACAACACTCCACCAGTGATCTCTATTTACACCATCAATCAAACTCTCAAGTGGGTTAAGAAGATGGGAGGTGTTGAAGCTATTCATAAGATGAATGAAGAGAAGGCCAAAATCCTTTATGAAGAAATCGACAGAAACAAGTTGTTCAGAGGGACTGTTGAGAAAGATTCAAGATCTATCATGAACATTTGTTTTGTGATGAACGATGAATACAAGGCACTCGAAGAAGAATTCTATAACTTCGCTACTAAGCAAGGAATGATTGGAATTAAGGGCCACAGATCTGTCGGTGGGTTCAGAGCATCATGTTACAATGCGGTCAGAATTGAGTCAGTCAAAGCCTTGGTCAGTTGCATGCAAGAATTCGAAAAACTTCATTAAGACCATTTCTTTCATTCTTCTTTTGTTTTCTATTTTTCTAATTTTGTAAACTATTCTAAAAACTATCCATTTTTTACTTTTTTATTAATTAATATTTTAATTAATAAAATATTATTGATATGGTTTGCTTATAATAAAAATAGACTATTTTCTATTTTTAACAACGAAACTATAACTATAGTATTATTAATAGATTGTTTTAATTAGTTGTGAACATATAAATAGACGATAAAAATATATTAATATCTCTCGTGTTTCATTCCGTCTCTGAAGAAGTAGAAGACTGGGTTGGTTCCATCGTGGTAAATTGAAACAATGAGGCATCCATCATCGACGTCCATGGACTTTCCGGAGTAGAAAGTGCAGTCCTTGAAGTTTTCAATGACTTTCTTGACGAAGGCTTGAGCCTCAGTCTTGAAGCCAGCAACTCTTTCTGGGTTGGTGGCAGTCAAGTGCTCGATCATGTGTTTGAAATACCCCTTGATGTGTGCCATATAAGCAGACTTGGTGAACCCATCTTGTTGGACAAGTTGTGCTCCTTCAACGACATCAATGACCTTCTCGACGCCTGGGGCATCAAGTCCTTCACCAGCAGCTCCTTCTTCGGCATCTTCATCAGCATTAGAAGCAATTCCGAAGTCTTCTTCTCTCTTCTCAATGAATTTGGCGTCGATGATATCCATGCATCCTTCTTGTCTAATTGTGAATGAGTCGTTATACATCTCATCACCAGTGAAAACATCCATATACACAATCATTCTTGAGAAACTGTTGCTTTCAGTTCATGTCGAACGCCTTATATATGAACCAAAGAACCCTAATCAAAAAATTTCACTTCCACTTCCTTCATGACTTCTTCTTATATTTTTGAATGGTTTATTATATAGCTTATTTACTATTAACTATTTACAGAAAAAGTTGTTGTCATATTTATAAAACGGAAAGTTTTTTCTTTTTTTGTCTTTCAAAAAAAAACAATTTCAAGAGTTTAAACCTATTTAAGAACTATAAACTATGGTTTTGGATTATTTGGTTATTTGTGGAAAGTAGTGTGGACTTCAAGAATGACCAACTTTTTGATAATAGTACATTTCATATAAAAAATAACGACAATAAACTCTTTCAGTTACTAACGTAGGGTTTCCTTTTTCTATAAAAAATAGATTCTATTCCCAAACACTTATTATTCATCTCTATTATACAAGACATTTACTTTCTTTTAAAAATATATCACACGTTTGGGATCCCCAACTACTTTCTATCAATTAATTTCAAAAAAACCGGTCAACCCTAAATTGACAATTAATAAAACGCTTTATTATTTATTTATTTACCTATTTTTTTAAACAAAAAGACTATTAGTTTCTAATAAAAATTCAATCATATTTTCTTAACGGCTGGAAGCTGTCAATCGACAACTTCTCATTCCCAATAAAGTTGCTTGTCGTGACGGGATCTGTAGGTTCCCTCTTTCTTGTGTTGATCAACTCTTCATTTTCGAGAACGAACTCGTCGACGTTTTCAAATGGGTCTCCGTCGATCAACACACTATTCAGCATGCTTTTGTAAGTATCGTCCTTCTTCTCTTCTTCTACCAAAAAGTCCCCGTCCAAAACATTTGCCTCAACTTTTTCGTTCACGTTTTCTTCTTCATTTGTACACCCTTTCTCGTCGACTTCTTCATTTTGTTTTTCTTTGACTCTTTGTAGGAGCATCGCAATATTCCGTGTTTGTGTCTCAACAGTTGCTTTCTTCGGGGTGTTTCCTGTACTTTTGATATCGCCAAAAATCTCAAGAGTGTTCGGATCAATACTTCCGATCGCTATCTTTTTCCCAATGTCATTACTAAATTTCTTTCCCAATACCTTTTCAATGGTGGTATCATCAAACAACGTTCTTTCACTCGCCTCTATTTCAGTTAAATTAACAATCAATTTGTCTTCAATATCATAAACATATTGGTGATTGAATGTAAAAAGTGCTTCTCTGATTTTCTGTTGTACTTGCAACGCCTCATCGCCAGACATCTTCTTCTTTTTCTTGATCTCAAACACCGCGTCCTTCTCGGTCTTACACTTCTTCAGCATCTCCAATCCTTTTTTCATCCCAATACCTTCTATCCCCTCAAAGTAATCACATCCAGCCACAACACATACTATCTGCACAAGAAAGAGGGAGACATTACTCCCAAATGGCGAAAGTGGTAAATCTGCTGCCTTATACAAATCCGCCACACCTTCCCCAACGTTCATTTTAAAGAGAATAGCAGTGCTCCCGTATGGTATCAAATCACTATCTTCACACACAACTAAATCGACATATCCAGTCCGACTTAAATAAGCCAATTCGGCATCGGCTTCATACGGCGCAACTACATACTCTACATTGGATCGGCGTAACTCATTAATGACGTCAAAGGCCATTTTGGGGGTGATGTCAATAGCTTTCTTGTAAAAACTGAGTGCCATTGTGTCTTTCCCCTCTTTGTCCAATTGTTTCGCGTTCTCTAAAGCTTGTTGTCTCTTGAGTTGTCGTGCCTCCTCTGTCTTCATTTTAGCTGGGAGTGTTGCTCCGTCAAACACAAATAACGGTATGATACCCTGTGTCTTAAAAAATGTGACGAACTCCATTACCCCTTGGACCAAAAATGCGGTGTCGTGTTGTAAAAGTAATCTTTTCGCGTTTCTTGTTGCCACTCTATGTAGTATCGCATATCCGTCTATTGCAACGCGTTTGTTCCGAAAATTTGCAAGAGGAGTTTTGTGGATTATAGTTGACAAAAAGGGGAGTAATGCCTTTATTCCCATCAAATGTTCAATTTAACATTTTTTAGTTGAAGTGGATCATTTTGAGGTTTTTTTTCAAATTTGGCGATGACTTTTTTCATTCAAAATTCAGACTTTATTGCTGTTTTCTTGTCGATAATTTTAATAATTGTTTATATTTAAGTAACGAACGCTACTGAAACGAATGAGTTATCACAACACTTATTGTTGCGCTGGGGCGGCTTCTTCAGCAGCCTGTGCAGCTTGTGCTGTTTCTTCTTCAAGTTTGCGTTGTTCCTCTTCATGAGCTTCTGGTGCTTTATTATAATTCTGTTCATACTGCTCAGTGCCAACGGCTTCAGTCTTTCCGATATCAGCAGTAGCAGCCCAAGTACCCTTCGAAGCAAGTGGTCCAGCAGCCTCAGAGCCTTTTCTATAACCAGACTCATATTGTTCGGTTCCAACGGCTTCAGTCTTTCCAATATCGGTAGTAGCAGACCACGTGCCCTTAGAGGCAAGTGGTCCAGCAGCTTGTGATCCCTTTCTATAACCAGCTTCATATTGCTCAGCACCAACAGCCTCGGTTTTTCCAATATCCTCGGTAGCAGCCCATGTGCCTTTTGAAGCCAAAGGACCAGCAGCTTGTGATCCCTTTCTGTATCCGGCTTCATAAGTGTTGGCTCCTACAGCTTCAGTTGCTCCGATATCAGTGGTAGCAGCCCATGTGCCCTTTGAGGCAAGTGGTCCGGCGGCTTGTGAGCCTTTTCTATATCCAGTGTTTGTGTTTGATGTTGGGCCGCAGCCGTAGTATTTCGCTGGGTCACAAACTGGTCCCTTTTGTTTCTGTGAAGAAGAGCCTGGTCCAACCATACGTGCACGCATTTTTAATAAGTAAGTTCTGTTTGCAGATGTATAAATCCTGTTCTATACGTGACAAAACTTGGCAAACTACCCAAATCCTCCTAACTCTAATTATTCCTGAAATGCACCAATTTTTGTTTTTGGTATCGCTTTTGGTTAGACGCCTTTTGGAGTCCGCATTCTTTTATTGTTATTACATCCATTCCTATTTAACACTTTTTTTAGTCTATACAACGACATGTCCCCTTTTTACTCACCAACTTATACAAACTGCCAGAACTTGTTATTTGAAGGCAACTTTCAAATACTTTACTCATCTATTTGAAGTATTTCTCATCTTCTGTTTTTCTAACTTGTAAAGCATTTTAAACGTATAACTTCGGGACTTTTCGTGTTCTTTGAATAATTCTATTATTAACCTTTTCATTGTTTTAAAAATGAGCTATTTTAACATTTAGTATGGTACAAATATGTACCATTTCTTTTACTATACACATTTCAATTAAATATGGTTCGGTAATAGAAAATTATAATACAGTGATTTATATTTAACAAAAATCAATTGAAATTCAAATGAGAATAGTATTTATGTTATATTAAATTTAGAATCGAGGAATCATAGAACTGTATTATATTAGTGATCTGTTAAGACATTTACTTCGCAATTTGAACCACATCATCGTCGTCTAACATGTGATCGCTGTTCACTCGCTGTGGAGAGTGCTCGACACTTGTTCCCCAAACCATAGCATACTTCATTTCGTTTACTAGATTTCGGTTAATTTTGAAGCAGAACAACTCAACAGTTGCTTTGCTTTTCATCAACACAATTGGTGTGTCCAAATCAACATCGCCACTTTTCGATTTTAAATACGTCTTGATCAGTCCAAGTTTTTCCCAAATCATTTCCACACACTTTTGTATGTTCTCGTCTTCTTCGACAGATACACACACCGTCTGCTCTTTGTTCAATTTTTCTTCTTTTGTGTCTTCGTCCAACACGTCGCTCTTACACATCACAGTGATAGACGGACCATACCACACATCGCCACTCATTGCGTCGTAGACATCGTCTTCAGTGATTTCGTCGTCGCCACAAATAACATCGCAACTCTCAACCAAAAACTCGCTTTTCAGTGTTTGTATCAAATGGGTTTTGTCCAACTTTGTGTTTTTACCTTCTGAAACGTAAATTCCGCCTCTGTCCTTCATCACAACCCGAACGTCGGGCTTTTTCTTGTTAAGCCGAAACCCGTTCGCCTCAAGTTGCTCGAATATTTGGGTTTGTTCGTCCTCGTTTGTTGCGTCCAAAATAACCATAAGGAGATCACACGTTTTGGCGATTTCATACACGGCACGGTTTTTCTTGACGCGCGTACTGTCCTCACTAATACCAGGAAGGTCCAAAATTTCTATTTTCATCCCATCGGACTCCAAAACACCTGTAACACATTTTGTGCCGTTGAGAACATTGTCTTTGATTGTGTCATCACTCTCGTTGATTGAAGAAAATAACGTCGACTTCCCAACACCAGTGAACCCTATTAACCCTACTCTGACGTCGCCATATTTGATTGTTTGTAGCAAATCACCAGTGATCTGGGAGCGTGTCTGAACAGGTGCCAACTCCTTTTTGTATTTCACTAACTTCGCTCGAAGAAGACAAAGATGGTGCATTGTTGCTTTGTTCACTTGTGTGCGAGAAAATTCAAGCTCAATGTCGGCTATCTTCTGCTCGATCGAATTAGACATTTTTGCTTTTTCAGTGCCTAGTTTTGTTAATCTTTACCTGATTCAATATTTTGGTTTTATTTTTTGTGTCATATTATTTAACGAGAATCAATACTCTCTTGACATAAATTCCACAAAGCTTAGTTATGTATTTGGACTGCGCCTCCAACAAAGAGCACATTTTTTTTATTCCTTCAAGTTTTCTTTCGTTCTGTCAAAATTGTGATTTTAAAAATTTTCTTCCATTATAATTAATTTATCACAAAAATTGTTATTAATTATAGTTTGTCACTCTGAAATGAGAAATGATAAGACGTGATTGTTGACATCATGGTGATCATCCACTGGAAATTAGTTAAACCACACCAACTTCCTTTAAGAGAGCAACATGTATTTGACCACCTCAACATTCGAGAACTGCTCAGGTCAATATGATATTTCAAAGCGCGTCGACTATACAACAACACCATTACCAACAGCAATCCCACCCGCACCATTTCTTTTCGTCAGAGACGACTTACTCTACTTGGAGACAAGCTTCCCACTATCCCTGATCTCAAACGTATTCTCGACAGATGTCTATTATCTTGCGCAGAGATACGGTGTGATGCCACTCAAGCCATTTCTTAGCCCAGAAGTGACTCAATTCCATGTGCTTTGTAATTCAGTCCAACAGCGTCGGCCATTTGTCGAACTGATTTTGACACGTGTGAAAGACTCGCTGAAAAGAACTCTCCTTGCAAGAAATGAAATTACAGTGTTCAATATCTCGAGAGTGCTCCACATATTCAAAACACAGATAGACACGTTCTTGGTGATCCTCACAAAATGTTTTGCGTCTTGTGTGTTGAGCCACGGAGAATTGGAAGCGTACAAAAGAGTCAAAGAGTTACTTGAACTCACTTCGCAACAGGTTTGGTTGTACATCTACGAATCCCAATTCTTCTTGGAAAAAAAAGAGTTCTCGTATCCCGTTGCATTAGTTCCAATAAAGCAAATAGTGCCACGAGTCGTTATGAAACACAAAGCACTTGAAATAAGAGTGTTTCTTTTGTCAGGATGTTTGATCCACCTCCCCACTCTCAAAATGCCAAAACCATCATTACTTTCTATTTCAACAAGTGGGAAATCAGAGTCACTGTTCGAGACACATGCCACAGATTTTGTGCCATCCGAGTTTGCGGGGGGAAGCGTGATGCATTCGGTAATGTTCTGCACCGCGTTGAAAGGAACAAACAAACTCCCAGTCGATTTGTATCCAATAATTTCAATTGACTTGCCCAAAGAAAATGGAGCAGCCATAAAAGCGTGCTTCAGGGCAACAGACCCAATCAAAACACTTGTTATCACAAACACATCACAGTGGGTCGATACGGAGTTTTCACTATTTGTGGACTGTCTGACAGAAAGTGGGCTTTTTGGGTCGGTACCTGTCGATAAATTATTCAATCTAATCAACTCGCTTGGTATAGAACTTGGTGTACACTCCAAAGAAAGGCAGAAGTACCCATTCTTTTCATTTGAAGAGGCACTGCGCATGGTTAACTCCATTCTCAACGACGTACAAAAACAAATGACAGACGCACTCGACTATGAGCTGATCAACATTTTCTCAAGACGCCTTTTGGAACACATTGACAAAGCCACAAAAACAAAGATTTCCAAATAAACAGAATTGTGAATATGTACATCAACCGTTTGTGTTGTTAAAGTTGCGTGTATTGTATCATACAAGGTTTCATTAATAACTTATTTTTAGTCTTCTTTCTTTTTCCTTTATAATAATGACAATGCCGCTTAACAACAATATCAACAAAATAAGAATCACTTTAAAATATACATTTTGCAATAGAACTCAATGCAATTAACGATCTTCTGTTATTCACTTTGCCTTTTTGTTATACGGTGCCATTCAAAATATGAACAACAGTTTTTTTTCTGCACTCTTGGTTATTCCAATTTCCAGTTTACTTTTTTACTTGTCTCAAAATAGTTTTTGTTTTTCAGGTACAAAAACGTAAGGAAACCATATGAAAGTTATATTAAACCATAGTATTGTGGTTTTTAGATGATTGAAAGACTTTTCATTTTCCATTGAAGAAAAATACACTGAAAAGTTTAAATAGCACTTGATGTCTGTATCCATATCATTTCACTACATCAACAAAGCCTATGTTGTCGGTGATTGTATCCAAGGCTTTATTAGTATCACCACCAAACGAAGAGCTATACTCACTTCTCTTTACTTTAATATATACGGCAAGACAATAACAATTCCAAACATAAACAACTCAAAGCCACAAAAGGAGTATACACAATTTTTCATCTCTTCAAACTTCCCACCACTTGCGGAGCAATGGAATTCTTCAAACGGACCTTTCTGTCGAGAGTACCCAATCGGAGTACATGTGGTCCCGTTTTCTATTCAAGTGCCTTCAGTACCTTCTCCATCAGTCACGTTGAAGAATGGAATTGGTATTAAATACTTTCTACAGGCTACACTAACAGTACTTACTCTCAAAAAAGATGATTCAAAGACACAACTTTCGACGTTTTCAGAAGAATCTGAAATCCAGATCATTTCATTTAAAAAGCAAACACTCGAACAAAACGTGACATTTAAAGAAGAGAAGACAAACAGCTTCGGCTTGTTTTTGAAATTGTCGTGCAACACTTCAGTTGTTCCCAATCAACCCCTCAAAGTGACTGCCTTTATTAAAAATACAACAGGCAATTTAGTCAGTCCAGTATTAATGTGGCATTCCGAGCATCAGTACAAAGAGACTTATCTAGTTTTAAATGGCGGTGTTCGACACTTGGGAGATGTTGAAACAATCACCGAAAAGGAAGTCACAATCGACACTTCAAATCTCTTCCCAACAATATCACAGAAAAACTTTTCAATTCGGAGTTTCTTGGAACTTCAAATCTCCTATTCCAAAAGCACCATTGTGTGTCGACTTGAATTGAACGTTGGGTGGGAGATGGTGTCTGTTGATGTTAATAGAGCAAGAGGGGCGTTACTTGGTGTTGAGTACATATCCGACAAAATGGCGTTTTACGGCGCACACATGCGACCGACACCAGAGTGTGACGAAACAGTCGAAAAGAAGGTTTTTGAGAACAAAGTGTATTACGTCAATCACTTGCTTAGAAAATGTTACAGTGACAGTAAATGCTTGAGTATCACTAACGCACGATACCCACTTCCCGAATGTGAGAAATTGCCATATGGGTGGGGTATAGGCTCCGACAGAGGAGAGATCTATTTTATCAACTGGAATAAGAAATATACCACTTGGATCGACCCACGACCATTCCCCAATCGAAAGGTAGTTGTTCGGAACATATCAGTGACTCTATTTAAAGGAAGAAACTTTCCAGCTTTGAAGGGGAAAGTGTGCACAAGTTATTGTGTAGTGTTTGATTCGGAGAATAGGGCTATCCAATCGGGTTCTTCCACAAAATGTGTCGATCCAATCTGGTCTGAAAACAACACTCTGACCTTCAGTAACTCTCCTGATCGAGAGAATTTCGTGTTATACTTTTATACAAATAAAAAGTTTGTTGGTGGGATAGATCTTCCTATGTGGCGAATAGCGGACAATGGGATTATGGAGTGGTTCCAACTCCGAAATTTTGGAGACTTTGAAATACCACAAACAGGGGAGGTCTTGTTGAAGATATGTTGGGAAGGAGACACACAACCTGTTGAGAAAGAGTGTGTGTTGGCCCATTTCCCACCTTTTTATTGCAACAGCCCAGCGACAAAAGACCAAGAGAAGTACATCAACAAATATCGGAAGAAGAATAAGGAACTTCCCGAAGAATTCAAAGTGAGTGGTGACTTAGTGACTGGTAAAAATGTGTTCTTTTTGGAAGTGGGAATTAGTGAAAACACATTTGTACTTGGTCATGCGGTGAATTATGATGCAAATTGGGTCGGCAAAGACCTCGACAAGTCGCCATTTCTCTCTTCAACTGATTGTCAACGCCGCGAAAAGCGGATGGCCAGTTTGTCTGCAGCGTCGACTCCTCTCAAGTTGAACAACACCAAAACACTTTTGTCATTACAAAGATCGACTCCATTGCACAGACCACAAAGATCATTAACTGGCAGCTTGTCGAGAAAAGCCGAAGATGAAGATTTGGAAGAAGTCATGGGTGCGCTCACCGATAGACAGAGTGTGTATTTACGAAATAGAAACAACTCGATGAGTGAGAAACCGTGCAATTTGGGGGATTCTCCGTTGATGCTTGTCGACGATAAGAGTGAAGAACAATTTGCGCCATTGTCTAAAGAGGTTTTCCAAGAAGTTGTGATGGACAGAGAGGATATACTCTCGCGAAGAAAAAGGCTACTCGATGAAGAAAAGTCGAAAGCCATGGACGAGTTGTTGCACATCGAACAAACCCAACATTCACCACGGCGAAATGAATTAAAAAGAGAGTCCGAGGGTATTCTATCTCCACGGTCCCCAGTAATATCGCCGAGGTCATTACAAAACAGTTCATCGTTATCACCACGAGGTGGCGCGCACAGTCCTCCGAACAACACACCACGTAATATCATTGTAATTTCTTGTGAGTCACAAAAGCTGAAAAGCGAGCGCTGTGAGAAAAGGGTGAGCTCTCTATTGAAAAAGTCCGAGAGCGACAAGAGCTTCGAGTCTCATGTTGCTTCGTTGGGTGTAGTTGATGAGGTCGAATTTTCCCCTTCAGAAAAGCGACTACTGGGATTAGTTTGATTATTATTCAATTCAAAATTGTTTCATTATTCCTATTGTTTTTTTGTTTCCATTGAAGACTCATTTAACGGTCAATTTCTTCACGAAATGATAATAACAAATTAATCACTTAATAGTTAAATTTATAATAATAGTATAGTTTAATGACACTTAAATTCTCCAAGTTGAAATCTGAGTTAAAAAAAATTCAATTATTGTGATATTTTTTGACTGCTGTTCAATAAATGGTTTCGGGAAACGGTAAGAAAATCGCACATCTTAAAATTTCTTTATTGTTTATCATTATTCAACTGTGGAGAATTGATGATGTATTTTACTAATTAATAACAATTTTATTATATAATATTCTATTCTATAGTTAGAAGCAATTCTGACAAAACTGGTGCATTATTGGTGACACCAATTGGCCAAATTATTGCAAAAAAAACATTGGATGAATTATTTAAAATGAAACGTCATAAAATATTGGGGTTTTAAGTAGTTTTTACAAATTTATGCAACTCAAGAAAATAATGTTTTTACTTCACCACATAAACTCATTTTATCGATAACAAAAATGAGTGCAAACAAGGCTAATAACCGGGAAGGTAAGGAACTATTTTGTTTAATAATTTGATATGACAGAGTGAAAGACGCTTCTTCAAGTAAGCCAATGCCTTCTTTTTCACCCGACACAACTTCCATTTTTTTCAAATAATTTGTTTACAACAAAAACCCAAGATGTAAAAATTCTCTTTTTCTTGTGTTGCCAAGAATTCCAACTTGCCAATCTCAACTTATTTCTTAAAAATTATTCATTTTAGAGTTAAACGAGTCAAGTTGAGCTTTTTTATACACAAAGACAATATTAAGACGACTAAATATAAGAATTATTACTTTTGCACATACTGTATAACCATATGACAAAATTGCTTATTACTTCCCATATAAATATTTTTTTAAAATTTCAAGCATTATTACCTAACACTTCAAGAATTCTATCGAATAGAATCGTGTTTATCTTTTTATGGCTTGCTTTTGCAAGAGTTAATCTTATTTACAATAGCAAAACGGCAAAAAAGGCAAATGCCCAAATAGTCATCCACAATAGTTCTCTTCTCTTCTTCACGATATTAAAACAATCTTTCAACTCCTAATTTCTATCATGACCAATGTTGAGAGAGCGTCTGCGTTTGCACGAGATATTCTGAAACAGTATACCCCAGAGACTCAACCACTTTCCTTTTGGATTTTTGATATCAAAGGTGTGGAAGATGCCATCAATAGATGGAAAACCGCTATGCCACATGTGAAACCATGTTTTGCAGTGAAGTGCTGTCCCGAGCCACATCTAGTCAAATTATTAGCCGAATTGGGGTGTGGCTTCGACTGTGCGTCCATTGATGAAATCAAAGAAGTCATCAAGTTAGGGTGCCAACCAGATGACATCACTTTCTCTCAAACATTCAAACCGTACAATCAACTTATTGAGGCCGACTCTTTAGGCATCTGCCACACAATAGTCGACTCAATTGAAGAAATCGACAAAGTTGCGCAGTACGCCCCGAAGATGGGCGTTATGCTCCGAGTCAAAGAAAACGACTTAACAGCTGGTCATGTGTTTGGCGACAAATTTGGAGTGACTGACGACGAGATCCCACTATGCATTAAAGAGATAGCAAAATGTGGTCTTAAGTTTGATGGAGTCCATTTCCACGTTGGGTCCAATTCACACAACAATGAAATATTTCGACTTGCTCTTCAAAAAGCGCGTGGAGTCGTTACAATAGCACAGGAACACGGTCTTGAGCCTTACATAGTTGATATTGGTGGTGGATTTTCTCAACCAGCTCCTTTCGAACAGTTTGCGAGTGCCATTGAAGACTCCATTGCTGCATTAGACTTCCCAAAGAACTTCATTTTTATCTCAGAGCCTGGACGGTATATGGCTTCGAATTCCTTTCATGTAGTTACGTCACTTCATGGCAAAAGAGTAAGAACTGTCGAAGGGAAGAAGCGGATAGAGTATGTTTGTGGTGAAGGCGTACATGGGGCGTTTGGGTGTTGTTTATGGTTTGAGAGGGAGATGAAGTGTTTCTGTTTAGACAAAGATAAAGAGAACAAAGAAACATATGACAGTTTAATATATGGTCCGTCGTGCAATGGAAGTGATTATGTTGCCACTGGGCACTTCCCAGAGATGACACCTGGCAAAGATTGGCTATTCTTCCCCAACTCTGGGGCTTATACAATATCAATGGCTTCAAATTTCAATGGGTTTGAATCCCGGTTTAGCAAAATATATACGCTGCCCTCAGACGACAGAAAATCTGTAAAAATACCAGAAGACTTAGAGAAGTATTCTGTGCCTGCTCTTAGTGGAAGACCGGGCGAATGGGGTGTTGACAATTGAATTTATAACTTAATATACTTTGTTGTTAATTAAAGGTATTAATATAATTATTACTATTATTATTAATATTCTATAGTATATATAAACAAAATATAAGTAATTTACAAAAGGCGAAATGCAACATAAGACGTTTGCGGCAGTGGTAAACTCTTTGCCACATCATTTTCTTGTGTTGCCAAGTACGATAGTTTTGTAACGGACGATATTATTTGGTGTGAAGTGTTGAAGTGAATTTTTTGATTGTCCCCAACGTCTAAAAGGCAAATAAGACTGAACGAATGGGAAATGACATTCTCAAGATCTTGGTACATCGTTGTCAACTTTTGCTGTGGGTCGACCGAGATTGAACTCTCTGTCGATGTGTATTTTTCGTCTTTAGCGATTGAAATTCCCGTTGAAAACTTCTCGATTTGTTTTGGTGTTGTTTTACACGTAGTCGTCTCGACTTTTGCGGTCTTTTTCTCCTTTTTTTCAAGAAGCTTTTTCTGTGAATTGATCTTCTCGGACTCGTCCGAACGTAGTCGCCACAACCCCATTCTCTTTTTGTCTGTCGTGCTTTCAAAGCTTCCGCAGTGATTCATTGAGTCGAGTAATGCCTTTCTCCAATTGTTCCTTGCGCTGACTTCTGATTATTTTTTCATTGAATACAATGAGTCTATAAAAACAATGAATAGAATAATAATAAATAGAATAATACTCTAATAATATTTGTTCTAATAAAAAGAACCATAAAAAAAAGTGAAGTCCACTCGTTCAAAAAAATGTTTTCGATGTCTTTGTGTGTGAAAAAAGAAGAATGTCCAATATATATAATAAAGAAACAAACACTGAGGTAACTTCCCAAGTATCGCCCAATGCTTTGTGACGAAAGGATAAATGTCATCATGTGCAGAATAAAATTGCTTTTTCTCAATATTTTCTAACGCAACAAGAACGATTTTGCATATGGTTGTCCACGGTATCCGCTTTTTGCTGATGACCCTCTCCTTGTTGGCACACAAATAACAACTGCACCCAATCTCGACACTTGTCCGCGGATCGTTTGCCATTTTTTATTTTCAAGTTATTACTACCGAACAAAATACAAAAGAGCAACAACAGAACCGCCCTCTTTGTCATTTGGAGTTTGCTTCTTTTCCTTCGAGAAGAACGCCGTTTTTATTTTTAGTAAAATGTGGGGAGTTTTCTTTATTATGCACTTTGTGAAAAAAGCCGTTTTCTCTTTTTTCGTAGACACCCGAAAAAACAAATAAAAACCAGACACGTAGACACACGTCCAAATTTTTCACTTTCCTTTAAAAGTTCGAAATCCTGAAATATTGCGGTGTTAGGAAGCAAAATACCAATTGGTAAGATGGGTCTATTATAGTTTTTTTATTATTTTTATTTAATAAATTATTTATAAACTTCCACTTTTGATAAAAAAAGAAAAAAAATCATTGTTTTGTGTTGGGGCTAAATTTGGAAATTTAAAAAAACGCAGAAAAATTCGGGTGGTTTGAAGTTTCAGTATTATTCATTTGCCCGAAATATAAACATTTTTTATAGTACAAAACCACTTTCTTTTTACAAAAGAAATAATAATTATGTTTGGTCACAATCCCATTAATTTACTAGTGTTTAACTTAATATAATTAATTAATTTACTTCACTTTTTTATAATAAATAAACAATAAATTTTGAATTTGTTAACCGCCATTACATTTTGTGACTTTAAGACGGAAATGCCGTTAATTGTATTAAACAAAATACTTTTATTTTTTATTGGTAATACTAAAATAAAAAGAAAAGATACGGTAAAGGGTCTCGAAAAATGCAGAAGAGAAATATTATAATATTTATGTTTAAAAGTTTCATTTTTATTACTCAAATCTTTAATCCTAGTTTTAGGAACAACATTATTTTTGGCGCTTCAAGAAAGCATTTTCTATTTTATGGTTGAAACGTGTAATATATAACGGCCATCACAAAGAAAAAACAACAGTTAAGTTTGAGATAGAGCTTTGAAAATTATTTAACCATTTTTTTTACTATAATTTTAAATATTTGACCACTGGTGAAATATCAAATTAAAAATAAAACTATCATACAGTTAACAGAAAAAGTGGGATGCTAATCTAAATATTAATTAATTTAATATTATTAATAATAAATAATTGATATAAATTTATTTTGGTTTTTTCATTTTATTAATTTTTTGATTAATAATTTATATTAAAATCAATAGTAATTTTATTATTCTTCAATTGAAATTAACCAATAGTTACGAGCATCCTCCTTTTTCGAGCATCCCCATATTTCCTTATACTGTATTAAAAAAGTAAGTGTGACCAGAATTATTATTTTCATGTTATTTATTTTGTAAAATAATAAATTAGTATAACAACCATTTTTATTAAACAAGCAATTTTTTTGTAGAAGCATTATCATTAATTTTTAATTAAACTTAATTATTAAAATGGTTTTATAATCTCTAAACTAAAAAAAAAAATATTTTTATATAATTTGCATTATTATAGAAATTGTTATTCAGTAGCTTAACTAGTTTAATAAAATTTCAATGATAAATAAATATTATAAATTAACAATTTTTTTTAAATATTTTTATAAGTATAATAATAAAATAAACTCTCTATTATTTTAAAATTATAATTTTAATTGGATTTTATTAAAGCTATTTATAATAATTATTGTGTATTTGTTATTGAAATAAAGCTTTTTTAAGTACTTGTATGTAAAAAAATTACATATAAAATAGATTGTATTGTATATTTATTATAAAACATTTTTTATCATAAAAAATGTTTTATGTATATTAATAAAACAAAGACAAAAAGATAAAACTTATCGAAACAGATTAAATTGAGGAATTAATCGACCATTAATACCAAGGCTAAATGAACTAAAAAAAATAAAGTATGTCATCGGAAGACAATCACAAAAGCCCAGTCAAGAAAGATGAAGTGGAGACAAAACCAAAAAAGGATAACAAAAAGCCAGTAACAAAAGAAGAAAAAGACACAAAAAAAACACCCAGAAAATCCACAAAAACGTCAAAGCCACAAGAAACAGAGGAAGAGTTTAAAGAAAAGGTTGGGTTCGAATACGATGAGATTTTTAGACTATCGAACACAAAGGTTTGCCAAAAGAGTGGCTTTAAAGGTAAGACGTATCTTGGCATTCGTGAAATATATGAGAAAGATGGGAAGTACCAGTTAGGGAAGAAAGGGATAAACATGAACCAAGATGAGTTTGCCATCTTTTCCGAGCACTTCAATGATATCAAAGAGTGGATGAAATAACTTTCTATGTTTTCAAGTTTTTATTTCTTCACTTAATATATAAGAATAATGTACTGAAAACAGTATATTGTTCTTAGTTTGTTATAAAGACAACAAATTACCAAATACACAAAGAACATATGATATGGTAAAACTTAACAACAAATATAATATTTATATCTTTGATTATAATAATGAGTTATAAAGATAAGAAAGGAATGATTTAGAGTAAAAAATATATATAAAAAGTGGTCTGAATTGTGATATACATAACAAATGTCTGCTTTGGAAATACTTCAAACCACATTATACAAACTCTGTGCAGAATTTTTTGAGACAGAAATAAGCACGGAAGATATTGTATTCTCGACACACTCCATATTCATCGCATTTATGATGATTTACATTGGGTCAAAGGAAAACACAAAGAAGCAACTTGAAAAGGTTTTTGGGTTTGATAGAGTTGATGTGTTAGAAACATACAAAGTGATCTCTCATATGAACACAAAAGAAAATGAAACATCGAAATGTAACATATTCAATTCGGTGTGGATGCAACAAAACGTTCTTTTGAAGGACAACTACTTAGAAACTCTTCAACAATTAGAGGCGACAATTTACAAAGCAGATTTCGCAGGAAATTTCGAGGGAGTGAGAAAGGAAATCAATGAAGTTGTTCGAGAAAAGACAGGTAACTTGATTTTAGACATGTTAGCGCCTGGAAGTGTGTCACGAGAAACAATTTCTGTTCTAGTGAATACCATTTATTTCAGAGGACAATGGGAGACCGAGTTCAACACGGTTGATATAGACTTTGAAAAGGTTGGCACAGTGAGTGGAATAAGTGTTGAAAAAGCGTTGCAGTGTGTGACAACAAACGATGAGACTACTCTAAGAATACCATACGACAACAATTACTCAATGATAATTGTGATGCCAAACAACATGACCAATTTTGTTAAGAACAAAAAACACAACAAACTGCACACATATGTCAATGACCTTTGTTATTCTTTTAAAGAAAAGACGATTTTAAAGATGCCAAAATTCTCAATAAATTGGGGTGGGTCGATATCAAAGAATTTGCAAACGCTTGGAATAACTGACGCTTTTGATGCACACGCAAATTTCAGTGGCATTACAGATGTCCCAATTTATGTCTCAGACGTAATTCATAAAGCGAAAATACGGGTTGACGAGAAAGGTACAGTAGCTGCTGCTTCGACTGCAATACTCATGAACAAACGAATGGCAATCGATAGAGAACAGCGTCGAGTAATTATCAACAAACCATTCTTCTTTATATTAGTCGATTCCAAGTCGTTACCATTGTTCTTTGGGAAGTGTACACACCCACACTTTGATAAAGAATAACACATTTTAATTGTTTATTTGTTCATTTAAAAATATTAAACCACCAAAAATTAATAAAAATCAGAACAACACACATCAAAAATACTCAAAATCGTCTTGATCGAAATCAACAGAAGGTTTGACTCTTCTGGATATCAACAAAGCTTTCACAACATATGGGTGCTCATAGAACTGTTTCCATGAGAGTCTATCAGCCTCGTGGTGCGTCACAAGATGTCGAATAAGGTCTTTCAGCGTCTCGTCGATGACAACGTCTGACGGGAAAGTGACTGGCTGTTCGTTTGCCATTGCTTTTTGGAAGAGTATACAATCGTTTGTAAATGGAAAATCGAGTGTTGCCATTTGGTACAGAATGACACCAAGGGAGTACAAATCGCTCTTAGATGAGTACGGCTCATTTTTTCTGATTTCTGGCGCCTCATAAATACAGGTGCCCACAACCGACCCCATCATATCACTGATACCTCTTGAGAATCCATAATCTGCTATTTTAACTATCGGATACTGGAAATTGGACTTTTTTAATAGTAAGTTGGCGGGTTTCAAATCTCTATGAACAAGACGCTTGTTAAAATGCAAATAATGTAATCCAGAAGACACCTCTCCAAGGTAATATGAAATTTCTTGGTTTAATAATGGGGTCTCTCGTTGTGACAAATACATCTCAAAGTTGCCACTATCACAGTACTCCATCACCAAGTAGAAATACTTCCCTGGGACATTGTTCCCGCCAACAAAATTTGCAACAATCGAGCGGTCCCAAGTAAAAAAGTCTTTGTACTCAACCAGATTTGGATGTTTACATAAGCGCATGCAAGTGGCTTCTCTCAAGAGTGATTCAAAGTTGTTTGATATCTCCTTTACTGCACATTTTGTGCCGTTTTCTGTCTCCGCTAAAAAGACTTGGCCAAATTTACCATGGTCGAGCATTTGTATGGCTTTGTATTTCTCACGCTTCCCTTCAAGTCCATACTTATGCGTTTTACACATCAATATGAATGGATGTTTTAACACTTGTTCCATGGTGATCCGCTCGTCCGGATCATACCTCAGCATTTGTTCTAACAAGTTAACCGCCATGTCATTTTGCACAGCACTTCGAACATTAATGGCAACTTGTGCCTGAAGTGCACTGAATGTGTCCATCTGAAGTAATTGGAATGGACACCGACCGACGAGTAGTCTGTAAATTAAAATTCCAAACGACCAGACATCGCTTCTACTGTGGCTATACGAGTCCAGAAACTCTGGCGCAGCGTAGTCGATGTCTGTGAGTGATAAGTCTTGTGGTGGTGTTCCGTCGAGTGTTTCGCACAACGCAAAATTTGACAACTTCAATATAGGGAAAATGGAAGCGGGGTCTCTGTTGAGTAATATATTGCACGGGTACAAGTGTAAGTGTTGGTAATGCAAATTCTCGGTGATATATTCGAGTCCAACGGCGATGTCACTAATGAAGAAAACGTTTTCGTCTTGTCGGAGACTTGGGTTCTTTTTCCAGTACACGTCGAGACTTTCAAAGCTGCAATATTCCATGACGTTCCAATATTCCAACGTACCTCTCTACCATATAAGTACACCACTTTGATTTTATAATAATAATAAAAACACAACAAACTGATGATGTATAAAACGAGTTGAAATAATGGAGGACATGTGGGTTATCCGTTTTGTTCATCATTTTTGCATACGCTTCTCTTCTCGTGTTTTCTTTTCGTGTTTTATCGTCGATTTTTGTGATTTTGATCGCAACTAGTCGTTGTCCGTGTTTTTGAAATTCTATTGCTTCCATTATAGTTGTTAAACTATCTTTGTAAATGGTAGACTCCAGTCGATAGTTACCAGTACCCGAGACTGTCTGGCACTGACTCATTTTATTTTACAAGTTCCTATCTAATAATTGTTTTCGTTGATCTCCCATGTTTTCCTTTTAAAACACCATTTCGAATATTTTTCAAAATAACCCAATCCGTCTAAACCAAAATAACAAAATCAAAATTTCGAGCAATTCCCTTTGCAAATGGTGCACATCTCCTTCCCATCCTCGTAGACCGCACCACACTTCTCACACTTCACAGGCGCTTTTGCCACTGGTGCCAACGTCGAGCAGTCAATATACCTCTCCGCACCACATACACATTTCAATGCTAACAAAGATATCTCCTTCCCACATGACCAACACTTCCCGTGCAGCACTTGATTGTTTTCATTCACACTCTTGTCAATCCCAACTTCTTGTGCGACGTAGTCTGGAATTTGTATCTTTTGTTTTGGTAAGAAATTTGTAGCTAAGTCGATGACGATTTTTCGATGTGGAGCCAATAAGGGAAGTCCAAGTAAAAGCGAGATTAAGAAGACCTCCATAGTAGCTGGAGATCCGTTGATTTTTTGGAAGATGTCAGAACAGAGGTGATATGCCAACGCAAGTTGCGCTTCGTTTTTGTTTTCGGTTTTCTCAGCAACAAGACCAAACGCGGCAGATGCCTTTGTGAAGTCTCCGGTCTCCAAAAATTGAATTCCAGCTTGGAACTGTTCGAGTGGTGGTGCATTACTTTTGAGTCTTGATGGTGGAAGATTGAATTTGGGCTTTTGAATGCTTGCCGTCTTTTTGAGTGTTGGTGTGTCCGTCAGCACGACATTGAACTTGCGCTTGGGTTTATCTTGTTCTTCGCTTTTGTCATCCGGGTGGTCATTTTTGTCTTTCGATTCCGTGTCGCTGTCAGATGAGCCAAAATCAAACTCGGAGTTTTTGAACTCGTGCTTGAAGTCAAAACTGTCTTTACTGTTGTCGACAACCTTTTTCTCGGGAACTGCCTTTTCTGCCTTTTCAGGCTTCTCGTGTTTCTTCGTTTTTCTTTTGTCGGACATGAAGCTATGAATAGGCTTTTACAGTTTCTTCATTTTTATTATTGGGTATCTTTCTTTCTTTATCTTAGGCATTTTTTATCTAATTAACTCTATTCAAACAACTAAAATATCTTTCTTATTTAAAGTGCAAATGAAGGATATTATGTGGCCAATTTATATTTTCAAAAATCTTAGTCAATTTTGATCTCAAAGCCATCAAAAATACCGAAGATATACAGAAAAAGACAAACAAGTTGATTCAAAGAACACAAACAGAACATAAAACTTGAAATAAAAAGTCACTGCTTAGAAAAAGAAATACCGCAGTATGAACACAAGCAGTATTAACCCAATCACCACGGCTAGTATCAAATACTTATTTCTTAATATCATTTTTTTGAATTGAACTGCGTCGTCGCGGTATGACGCGGTCTCGAACACTAAGTCGTCGCTCTTTTTCTCCATACCTTTTCGTTATCTTTTCACCCTCTTTGAACACTTTTCCATCATTTAAGTGAAGCTACAAATCTGTGGAAAACAAACTTTTGAGCTTATCGTCTCTGACCAAAATGTGTTCGAGAGTCTGTGATGCGATGTTTTGAATATCTTGGAGGTCTGCGTGTGCTCTCTCGAGATTGTTGCGTTGTAATCTGTTTGTCATAGGGAACTGAAATTTTCAGATCTTCTAAGATGGAGAATGAACAAGTGATGGAAGGATATATCCAAAGTGATCCACGGTGTGTTGGTGTTAATTCGACAAACAGAAATAACACCGTCAATGTTGTGAATTGGCAAAAGAGTGAAGTTTTCACAAAATTCATCATCCGGCAAGAAATTGATGAAATGATGACATATGCAAAGGTCAAACAAGGGTATCGAGAGATATCAGGGGACGAGCAGAAAGAGAAGGAATTCTGGGAGAAAGTCGAGAATTCCAAAATTCTCTTTGCAAAGCCACAACACAAGAAGTCACGGGTGCCGGGCGATGTTTTATGGAAGTCACAAAAAGATTTGGCGGATGACGAACTTTGGGAGAAGAGGGGGTTAGTCGTGCCACGGCGAACAAGTGTTGCTTTGTCGATCAACAAAAGTGGGAATGCTGCAGTTATGAGACGTTGTTTAGTCGAGAGTGAGATCAACGATAATGGTGAACGAATGGAAGAGGCAGAGATGTATGACCAAATTGTATCAAAAGACCAAATGGATATAATTGAAACGATACAATATAATCAGAATAGCAACTTAATGGAGGAAGAGCCCGAAATGATTTCAATTGATTGTAGTCAACTAGTTTTAGTTGAATATAAATTGGAAGAAAAAATCGAAGTCTTTGAAAGAGAAATGGAAGACGATATTCAACACATGCAAGAAGAACAAATCACTACTGAGAACAAAGACCAAACTTGTTTAAAATTGTTTAACGTAGTGAACAAAGCAGTTAAAATGTGTTGGGGATGTTCAAAGGAAAACAGACCCAAAGTGTTTAGCGTTCTTCAAAAACTTGAAAGTGAAGTTATAGTTTGTTGTTTGTTATTAGTTCAAACATTATTCATAACAATGGGTTAATGCTTTAATGAAAGTCAAAGTAAAATTTGTTCACATCAAGAAACAGAAGCAAGGACAAATACAAAGTGAAGTATCAGACATCTATGAACAAATGGAAGTATTGATCCATAAAGCGTATGTCAAAGACAATATTTATGGTGTCAATACAAGTTTTTGAAGCCATTGATTTTTGTTGAAAGAATTGAAGTAATTGAAGTACATTTTGTTGAAAAGTTATTTCCAATATCGGATATCAGAAGGTCATAATGTTGTCAAAACGCTTTTTAATGAAAATGAATTTGTAATTGGAGATACCAAAACACTTTATTTCTTTTGGAAAGCAAAATGTAATAATTCAAACAAAGAGATGGCATACTGAATAACGAATTGTTTTTAGGAGTAATGCCATCAAAAATAAACTTCTACAAGCCAGGCTGTTGGAAAATTCTGCAAGGCCTCAACAGCCAAATTAGTTTATTGTAATTATATTAGTGAATTCCAAAAGTTATCGAAATGAATTAAGAATGAAGTCTCCATTTTTTCTTATTGGTAGCTTTCAATTAAAAAAGACCAGGCACCATCGTAAAAAGATGAGGATTGTGCCTTGAACAACAAATGAGAAATATTTTGTTTACTCCCTCGAAAATGACTCAATGGATTGAACAAAACTCAATATTTCGGCTCAACATAACATCAGTATCTTTCCTTTTTTATCCGTTTAATAAATAGGTATGAAAAATGGCTAATCAATGGGAACAAATCAACTTAACAAATAAGTAACAATCTTCGCCCAACACCCCGGGGTTTGGTCCTATTCATCAAAAACGAAACTAAACTTCCAAAAGTGTTTTGGGTTTGTTATTTATATTTAGAGCAATCGAAAAAACTGTTTTTAGGCATTTTTCTATTTTTATTAAACTATTTAAATAGTACTAAGAAACAATAGATAATGGTTTTCATTTTTTTAACTGTTTTCAATACGAATTTGGGGCAGCAACAGTATTATATCTGCATTTTCACCAATTATTTACATGGATTTTGAGTATCAAAATGTAGTTATAGGAAATAAAATGATTAACAGACTTCCCAAAATTGCGTTTTTTCGACTGTTGGCTTCTATAATAAAAGAAAATGAAGAGAACGGTGGGAAAATCAAGAACACAATTTTTTTTGGCACATAAAAACAGAATGCATTATTTAAATTAAGCATAAGATTTTCAAAATAGTTGTTTATCTTCAGCAAGAAACAATGAGTAAAAAGTTCCATATTTTATAGATTTCCAACTATTATTTATGGTACATTTTAAATAAATTTTCCAAGTAATAAATATAGAATGTATATTGAAACACAATACAAAAGACAGTCAAAAAAAGACGAAATAATCGTTTTTAGATTTATATTGGGAAAGATTGATAATTTCGCAAGCTAAATGTGGGAAAAAAAGTTAACAATCTACAAGTGAGCAAACAAATCCAGCTGGTAAAAGGTGAAAAAAATCTTCCGGGGTATTAAAAAATAGTTAGGCACCGCGAAGTTTTCTTTACCACTTTAATTATGTTTTCTGTTTTTTCGGTGTTCTTGGCGCCGCGTTTTTGCTTGTAATTATTATTGTGCATTTCAATATAACAAAAATAAAGCAAATGTGGATTTGAGCAAAAAATTGCGCCATGAATCACCAAACCATTTTTTTGTAGTTCAGCATATTAAAAAGTATAGTAAAACAATTTACTATTTGCTAAATGGTGTTTCGCCAAAATATATTAGGCAAAATTCGACTACCCAAAACACAAAAGAGCTGAAATAGATTGTTGTTTTGATAAAAATGAAGCGTCAAAGGGGATGTTGTAATTTCACAAGGGGAGATTTTGCCACAACAATACAGTCCTGGTGCTTTCTCCCGAATTTCTAGCAATTCGACTCCATTAGGAGTTAAATGTGTCCCAACGAAAAACTAATAATACCAAAAATATTCCAATAGATTTCTTGTTTACACCGGTTTTATTTTTAAACCGCCCATGTTCAAAAGAACCAAATGTACCATATATTATAGTACATATTAATTTACTCCGTTTTTTCGTGTCTAATCCACCCCAAGTAGTCCCGCAAAATCCCGTTATTGTGGCTGCTGATTTGAGAACCAAAAAAATAATATAGGACGTATTTTTATAAATAAGTGCTCTATTTATATAAAATTATAAAGCAGAGACCAAATATAGAAAAGCGTCTTTCCGTCCATACAATTTAGCAAAACAGAACTTGGTTATCACCAGACTGAAATCCATGATTGACTTGACAACATTGAACGACCTGCTCTTCGACCAAAACAGTGGGTTACTCCTCTCCATCTGCCAAAACGTTTGTTCGCTGTTTTTGTTATCATTTGAAAGAAGGACAAAACGAAGACAAATAATTTTCGCCCATTAATTTCGTATTGAGTTATATGACTCAATTCTTCGTTTTTGTGTCTTCTCTAGCCAAAATCATCCGAGTTATTGACTCATAGTTAATCTACAATTTGGACGACCCACTTTGCTTGAAAAATGCAATGACGATAGTCTCATATTTCCACTCCTTCAATAAAACAAACTTTTTGTTCCATTGGGGATACAAACAGGAATTCTTACACACTGAAAACACATACGAAGACTCAATTAACCACTTCTTTTCAATTTTTAACCGCGCCTATGCTTGCAACGAACTCAACGCCTTCAACGCAAAGAGTTACAGAACACTCCTCAACGAAAAAAGCCTCTTCTCCGACCTTGACCCGAAATACCATTTTGTCGACAACGACGACTACACCGACGATATGTACAAAAAGTCTCTTTCGTCGTTCAAAGCACTTCAAACCCTTGCGACAAAAATCGTCCAGCTGACAATGGAGAACTTCAAGGACACCCCCGAGGAGTACCGGGAAATCATCACCTCTGTAATTACAAACGAAGGGGAAGGGAAAGGTGTTATCGACGACATTGAAAATGTTTTCATTAAACAAGCAGTCATCCCGTTTTTCAAGAGCCGCAGAGGGTTACTCAAAACGTACGGAAAGGATGTCGAGAACATCGTCGACAAAGTCATTTTTTTGGGCGACCGTCTCGAGAAGATGTGTTCCAACGGCGACCAAATGGAATTGGGCAAAGTGATTCGAAACGCCGTTGGTGCTAGTGTCTACGACACTCTTCGCAACAAACCAGTTGAATCGAAGGTGGAAGAAACGATCAAAGAGCCTTACAATTGCGAGTGGTCGAACGAGATGACGATGTTACTTCAAACCTCGATCGTCCCAATTAAGAGAGGGTTGTCTCACGACGTATCTGACAAGCTTTCGAGGGCGCTTGAAATACCAAATTGTTGTTTCGACGACTTTTTGGTGTACGACAAACTCCTCCAGAACATATCAAACTTCACTAAAAACTACCAAATGTACTTCTCTCAAACGTTGGAGGATGCGAAGAAGAAGGAGAACGAATTAAACAAACTGAAGTCGTCACTTGAGAAGGCAAAACAGGAACTGATGCTGAAAAAGATTAAGAACTGCGATTTACAAATTCAACTCGAAGATACAATAAAGCGAGAGGATGAGAGGGAGATGGATGCAATGGACTTCTTACGAGCAATGGCGAGAGAGCAGAGACTGCGTCAGTCTCAACCCCTTAACAAAGAGAAGCACGAGAAGATCGAAGTCACAAAAATCGAATTGAAGAAGGCAAACAAGGAGCAAAAGAAGTTAGAAAAGAAGTTAAAGAAGGACAAAAAGAAACACGACGAGCCTTTAAAACAACTTGTTGTCGATGGAGGAATGAAATTATCTGCAAACAAAGCACGTGCCGGGAGTATGTCATTTAGTATTGAAAATCCTCATGCCCAGAAAAAGAAGAAGATTTTGAGAGGGTTGTTTGATAAGAAGAAAGACAAAGCAGACCAACCATCCTCAGCAAAGACATCGAAAATCAGTACAGAGGATTTGAGCTTCTCTTCAAGTCAAATCTCCGCATGTACAAGCGTACAAGATTCTTGCGATAGTATATACACTTTTTCGAATTTATCGAGTCCGTCAATTCGTTCTGAGTGTGTCACTTCGAATTGCTGAGACTTTGTTTATAACTTACTGTGTTTGTGTTTTGTTCGAGCTCTTCTTTGAATTGAAGCGTTCAACTACTCAGACCATTTGGCAATTAAATAATAATAAAAATATAACAACGAAACTATATTATCTAGTTTAATTCAGAGTAACAGCGGTTCTTCGGAATTCCAGTACAAGCCACCATTGGGAGGGTCGTCGAATACGCTGTTTCCACACGGCGTGATGGTGTACCCCAAGTTTCTTGTGAATGTTTTGTCCTTCAGGAGCGCGTTCAGATCCTTTCCAGAAAATTTGATGAACGCAATTCCCATTTGCACACTTTTTGCTTCTAACAACTCAGGTAGATAGAACAGTGCCTCTTTCGGGTTGAACTTTTTGAACCTTTCAATCACTTCAATTGGTGTTGTATCAAACATGATCTTTTTAATTAACACACACGTTTGTGTGGTTGGGCCGCTGCGACTCTTTATCACCTCTTTGAGCACTTCGATGACGCTGTTTCTAAAGAGATACTCCATATCGTCCACTCGGAACGATATGTTAAATCCCATATCCAAAAATGGTACAAACGGTGGATATATCTCAATTGCGCTGGGTTTGGGGTATATGTCCGGGGTTACTTCCTTATGGAGAGAGATGACCTTTCGCAGATTTCCCTCCTGCCCATAAAATGTGAAAAACCCGTCGATTGTCTCGATGACATCGACCTCGCTCAATTTCCTTTTGTATTCATCGAAGAATGGGCAACCAGATGTGACGTACTCCACCTTCTGTAAGTTGACCAACGCAACCTTCTCCACAATTGTGTATTTCAAGTTCCTCGCCTTTTGAATGTACTCTTCACTTTGTATATCTGGCAAGAGGCCGCGTTGTTGAAGATAATAAATCGTCATGACCACAACACAAAACGAGTTAAACCCGCCGTGCATTGGATCGATGACGCGAAGTGTTCGAAGTGTTTCCTTGATGTAGTAGACAATCACTGAAAGGTTTTTGTCGAACGAGAGATACTCCTTTAAAAACTCCGAGTTGTAAATCCCCTCGTAGTTGTCGAGTGATATGTCAACAGAAACTCGGTCGATATAACACTTGATAATGGGGACTCTTGCACCTATCATATTAACCCCTCCAAACCCTCTCTGTCTTGTAAGTTGTTCTGAAATGAACGTCAACTCACAGATTTTGTCTTCTCTGAATTGTGATATGAAGCCACTCACCCGCCCCTTCGACACCATTTTCTTTCGTTCATAAGTTGACTGATATGTGTAAGGTTGGTTGATGACTAATGTAACATCCAAATCTTCCCCTATGAAGTCGTACGCCCCACTTCCATAAACTTTCACCTCACTACTTTCGTAAATTTCATTAAATACTGAACTGAGTTTCGCAATGAATTGCTCCGGTTTTGGTGCTCTTTGTTTTATTTGGTTGTAAACAGCCACAAGCTTTTCGGACGTTATGTCTTCGACAACATCGTCTTGTAACAAATACTTTCCAAGTTTGGTGTGTTCTGTCAAGCGATGAATAATCAAGTCTTCTTGTGGTACCGACAAGCAACACCTTGGTTCTGTGTGATAATTTGTTTGTGGAGAAGGTGTTTTTTTTTCCTTTCTTTCAACTGTTGTTGGGGAATTTCTGTGACTGTTAAACCCACCTCTATCAGCCCTTTTGCCTCTTCCACTTGGCATTTTGCGTGATTGTTTTTTTGAGTTTTGTCTTTTTCGATGAATTCTTTTGAAAGAGATTTTGCCTCATCGCAATGATTTAAAAACGATTATGAAACTATAATTGAAAAAAATACTAAAAATATAATAACAAATCTATTAACGAACCATACTACAATTGCCGAGTATTGAGTTATCAATACTGCTCAAATCCAGTCATTTGGTTGTCGTATTGGGGCTGGACGTCGGGTTCACTGACATTCATTTGGACCAACCCTAGCGTGGAAGGGACTGGTACTAATGGTACCATAGCCTGTGCAACACCGTTGAGGACAAAAAAGTACATTGGCTGTCCAAATTGGTTAAAGCATGTAACAACTTGTCCCACGTTAGGCTGAATAGCTGAGTTTTGTAAGAGAGTGTTTTCTGTAGGATAGTAGCACATCTGTGGGACCTGGTTTTGGACAAGGGGTTGCTTTTCTTGGTCGATAGTGGCAAAAGCAGTTGAGTCGATGACGCTTTCATTTTCATTCTTTGTCTCTTCTGGCGATTTCATGTTTAATGTTTCAGTGAATGAGACAGTTGGGAAGACGAATTTGCCTTCTTCCTTTTGCAAGTCTTTTTCTGTGATTTCGATAAAGCTCCTCTCGCCCAATTTTTGTTCGGCAACTTGTTCGAGTGCCTCAGCAAATGTTTCCAGTTCAGCGAAGGAGATAATTTGTTCTTTGTATGACAGTTGTGAAACTCTGATCAACTTTTCAGTGTATTTGGCTTTTTTGGTCTTTTTTTCTTCAAAGGAGAATCCAACCATCTTTAAGAAGAACAAGAGAGAATTACTGATCTGAGCCTCTCTTGATCTTTTAAATTGTTTCAAAGTCATTGCTGACTCGTCGAGATGAGGCTTTCCAATATCATCGAGAAGACACCTGGAATATTTTGCAACATCATGTTGATTAAGCACCTTACCAGTTCCACGATGGACCATCTCTTCTACAATAAGCATTTTCTTTGTGTGTACCGTTTTTTTGGTCCTTTTGATTTTGATGTTAAACCCAAGCTTGATTATCATATAAATAAGACCATTAGCAATCGTAGTCTCCTCATTTCGAGAAACTCTTTTTCTTCGTCGCAATGACTCAATGTATATTTCTTTAACCATGTCGGGGGTTTCCATCTGATGTTTTATAATAGCTCAATACAGTTCTTGCTTATATATGAACCCGATTATTGTAGTGTTGAAAAATTCATTATTATTGAAAGAACTATCGGGAAAAATTCCAATCAATTAACCTAACCCGAACTTTTTAAAATTAGAAGGACCTTGCCAACGATTGGCTGTGAAAGAAAAATACAAAATACATTCATCTTCTTGTTTTTAAAATCTTCATATTTTCAGGTTGTTTGTTGTAAAAATAATTAGTATTTTATTATTATAAAACCACTCCATTGTATTTGGAAAAATCTTTAAACAAGTGAATTTCCTTTAAACCGTTTAATTAACATTTCTGGTCCATTAGTCGATATTTTTGGATGTCGAGAATGAAAAGAACTTTCTCGACACCTTTAAAATGTTGAAAAAACACCATTTAAAAAAAAAGTTTTTTGGAACCTTTTTTGTTTTATTTTTAATTGGGTTCGAATACAATAAAAAACACCAAACTAATTTGTTTTATAAAAAAAACTATCAAAATTGTTTCAATCTTTGACTCAATTTTTTTATCAACAACACATTTCCCGATTTGTTGTGCCAAAAAGATTTAATACCAATAATTGGTACGAATCGGGTTTTACTAATTACGTCGTAAATCGGGCTTATAATATATTTAATATTATAATAAGCAATTCAAACTAAAATAATACTGTTTACAATATTTAAAAAGCACAAGGATCATCCCAACAAAGATCCCTGATCCCAAAACAACCATAAATATAAACTATTGGTCAAATATAAAAAATGTTTCTATTATATTATTTTAACCCAATTAAAGTTATTAAAATAAATTTTTTGACGTGGTAAGTATTGGCCAAATATTGTGTTGAAAGTCGCTTTGCCTCAAAAAACAAAGATTTTTTTTGCTTGTTGAAAGCATAGAGTTTGCTTTACTTCAATTCTTTTTTATATTTAAAGTTCACAATTAGACCATATAAGTTTTCTTTTATTATATTATTAATTTACTGTATTATATTTAAACAAAAATACTACAACTTGATATTTGTATATTATATTATAGTTAATTTAAACTATTTTATAATAATGAGGTGTTATTTTTGTCAATTATATTTTTTTAAAAGGTTTATTATTAAATATAATAAGTATTATTAAATAAAATTTATTATAAATATTATATAATATTTAGTTTTTACTTCTTGAATTATTAGTGAACTAAATTAGAACTAATGATAAACGAGCTAGTTTTATCAAACAATAATTTCGTTGCGAACAGACATCATTACATTCAAAAAACACCAAAACCACAAAAAACAAGAGAATTGAAAGAAAACAAAAAGTCTTAAGCTGTGTCGAGTTCTGTGCCGAGTGAGAATCTGAACCTGAGGTCGAGGTTTCTAATAGCTCTGTATTGCTCTCTCTTTGGGAGAATTTTAATAACCTCTCTCATCTTTTGATGGAGTCTTGGTTCGAGGATCCGTGCTCTCCTACACATCTCTTTCAACTCTTTTATTCGCTGTTGTTGGACCATTCTGTCCATCCCACTTTTACCCAAATACTTTGTCAACGAAAATTCTTTGTCAAGCGCAAGAAGAGCAAGTCGTTCAACTTCTTCAACCTGCTTCATTTTGGCGTCCAACGCCTTCAACGCAACCTCAACTCGTTGTCTAGTCGGGTTCACTGTTGGGGTCGCCATCATAGGATCTCCGCCACTCAAATCAATTTGCCCGCGTGAAACACACACCATCATTACTACAAGCACTGACAACATGTTGTCGAAAATATTATTTAAGTTCCTTGATTTTTCTTTTTATTAAAATGTTTTATATAACATTTTTATCAAATGGAAGAGAAATAAATAAAAGTAATTTTTAACGAGTTGCTTATGAATTCTACATAAAACATGCGAAAGAAGTATAAAACACAACATATAAAATGAACGGTATGTGATATGAGATAAGCCGGTTACTAAAAAATTGAAATAGTATGTATGTTAGTTCAATTTAATAATATTTAGTTATCTTTGATTATTGTTGGACTCAACAAGTCGAAAGGGATGTTCTGTAGAAAAAATATCACTTCATCATAAGTGGACGAAGTGACAATAGGACAAAACAATTATTTTAAAAGATGTTTAAACATTTGCAAAATACTGTTGTACATCAATCCATCGAGTCAAAATTAATGATTTCGATTGCAAAAAAATTTAATGATGATTAAAAAGGTTTTTTTAAAACCAAATAATTTCTTTGGTATGAATTAAAACAAAGGAATACCATTAATCCAAGAAAGAATAAGATATGAAAAAACCGTTCATATTTTTATTAAATTAAGAATCGATGAGAATATTTTTGTAAACAATACAGTAAAACCTCCCAAGAGCGGTATTTTCCGAAGAGTGGGTTCTCTCAA